GCACCCAAACACCTGCTCCATGATACAGTGTTTGCATCCACCTCACAATCTCATCCCCAAACCCTTGCCTCCTCATTATCCACCATAATGCTTCTCTCTCGACACTATCATATGCTGCCCGCCAATCTAAGGCCAACACCCACCCTCCATTCTTTGCACACTCTCCACAAACCCCCAAATCACCCCATGCCCCTCATACATGGTCCTTCCCAGCACCCCATACTGGCCCACTGCCACCACCCTATTGATCACACACTTCAACCTATTCCCCAATATTTTAGTGAATAACTTATAATCCGCACACAGTAAAGAAATAACCCTATAGTCCTTCACCGTGCGTGAACTGGCCACCTTCGGGACCAAGACTACCACTGCCGTTGCCTAAAAAACCCCCAGCTCACCCCTTTTTTCATCTCATTCAACAACCTGACCAAGAACTCCTTAAGTATGTCCCAATTTTGTAAGTAAAACTCACATGGCAGACCGTCGATTCCAGGGGATTTACCCCTATTCACACTTGATAATGCCCTCCACACCTCCCCTTCTTCAATGTCCCCTCCCAGTGCCATACGGTCCCCCCTGCTCAGAACATTGACCACATGCCGTCCCAACTGCCCTAACGCCCCCCCTGCACACCAACACTCCTCAAAGAAGTCCCAAACCCTTCATCCACATAACAACCCATCCCTTCCGTCGTACGAAGCACCTGCCCCACACGAAACCCTCTGACCTCCTATTGCACTAACAAACATTCCATCTCTGTGGCCGCCTGACGCTTCCACTGCCCCCGCAGAACACACGCCGATGGCCTGTCACCCCACAAAACTTCCTCTAACCCACCCTTAATCTACACTGCATCAAACTTCTCATTCTGCAGTTCCCTGATGTATTGCTTCAGCCCCTCTATTTCCTCCACAGGATAGCCCCTGCCCTTACCTCTCTCTCATAACAATCCCTCAACCGCCCCTCTAAATATCTTATAAGCCCAAAAGTCATCTGAGCCTCCCCCTTCCCCTGTCTAACATAATGCGCCCTGATCCTCCCCTTTGCCACTCCATCCCACCACGCCAACATATCTCCAACAGCCTCCACCCCTGCCCACAACTCCCTCCACAATTGTGCAAACCCCTCCCTCCCCCTCTATCTGCAAGGAGTCAAACATTCAATTTCCAAAAACTCGTAAGCCTCCTAGGCAACTCGTCCCACCCCACCTCAACGAAAACCACCTGTTCTGAATATGCTACTTCCACCACACACCCCCTTTCCACCCTTGCAGTCTGCGTTACATACAAACGGTCCAGACGAGCAGCATACCCTCCCCACACAAAGGTGTGCTCCACCTCCCATGCCTCACCCTTAGCAACATCCCACAACCCCGCCCCTCGCAAAAGATCCCCAAACACTACAGAGTAAAACCCCACCCCTCGAGGCTCCATATCATTCCTTCTCACCACACAATTCCAGTCACCGCCCACAACCACCATGGGAGGAAGCAACCGGAGGTAGTACACTAACACATCCCTCACAAAGGCATTCTTGACACGTCCATCCCCCTTTACGGGCCCATTGTGCCACTCTCTCCCCCATCCACAGCCCATCCACTCGCACGACCTGCCCCTCCTCCCCTACCGCACTACGATACACAACAAATGGGCTGGTCTCTCGCAGAAGGATGGCGACCCTCCCCTTTCAATCGAGTTGAATGCGCAAAAAACACCTGAAATCCATCCAGTACTAACTCACACCCGGCTTTATAATTGTGCTCATGCACAAAAGCCACATCCACTCCATACCTACGAAGAAAACCCAAAAACCACATACACTTCACTCTGTCTCACAGCCCATTTACATTTACTGAAACATACTTCAAGCCAGCTGTATCTTGTGCCCTTTTGGCACTGATCCGCCTCTAGACGCCTGATGGTGGAGGTCCTCCAGTATCCGCCACTGGGCCCCTTGGCCCCTTAGGGACGCCCTGTGCCACCTCCGCCCACACCTTCTTGCCAGGCTTCTGCGCCAGGGTGAGGATATCATCAGAGTCTGGGAGTGCCGCCGTCCATTTGCACGATCCTCCCTCTTCCTCCATAGCCACCTCCAGAAGGCCTCTACGGTGATTACATCCATCCCAGCAGCCTGCTTCTCAACCAGCTCCACCACATCCTAGGACCATACACAGACACATTCCCAAGGGGTAATTCAAGCCCCTCCTATTCTGCCTCACCAGGTGTGCCCAACAATCCCTTCAGCACTGTCGCTAATGTGTCTTCCACTCTCTCTTCCATGACCATCCTACCCTCCTCATCCAGCATAATCGGGCCAACGGAGGAAGGTTTCCCAGGTAGTCACACAAGACTCCTCAAGCAGTCGTCTCGCTCCACCTCTTCACTCCACAATCACGTCTTTGGACGTGCACCTGACTCAGGCACAACAGTCACCTTCTGGACTGGCTCTTCCATTGGTTGTCGCGCTACGTCCTTCTTTCACTGTTGGCGACCACATTGTGCTGCAAAGTGATCGTACTCTCCACAAAGACAACAAGTGCGGCGTTGCCCAGCATAGGATACCATCACTTGCGTACGAAAATCAGTTAATCACTACTTACGATGGTATGGGATGTTTCAAAGACATCTTCAGTGAAAAGGAGGCATATGCGCCCTCCGTCCATTTTCCGACGGTCACTACATGTACAGTTCCATACCTGCTGAATACGTTCCACAAATCAGTCTCATCGGCTTCAAAAGGCACATTTCGCACCTTAACCCAAGTGAAGTAACGTGACACGTCGATGAGCCTCACTGTGACCGCCGGGTTGACAACCGCACAACTATCTTGATATTTGTTGACCAACTGCTCGTAGACACTTGTTGTTCGGAGCTTAACAAAGACTCTATAGGCCCCATTAAGCGCCACTCCATAAAGTTCTTCATCAGTGACACCATAAGTCTCCCTGATGATGGCTGACAGGATAACAGAAGCTTTGTAGATGAATGGTTCAGAGAACCGACATGTTGATAAATTAGACACATGTGCAACTCTTGGGTATCTTTATTGAGGAAACGTTTCGCCACACAGTGGCTCTACTCAAGATTGATGGACTGAACACATCGACTCAAGGTTGAGGGACTGATTACCTCATTCTCCTGTTCTTCAAGTTTCTCCAATGTATGGACTGATGAAGCCACTGTGTGGCGAAACGTTTCCTCAATAAAGATACCCAAGAGTTGCACATGTGTCTAATTTAATAACAGAAGCTGTTTGGGCCGTCACAGCCCCACTCACCAGCTCTATACAGACAGTGTTGATCCGCCTCCGTGTCTACTGTGCCATATTGAGAAAATCTCAGCTTGCTTCAACGGCCAGCAGAGGGCAGTGTAACGCACGTACGCTAACTACAGAGGTCGAGCGACGAATGTCCAGATTTATCCAAGTAGGAGTCACTACTAGTACTCTTGTTTTATAGCCCCGTCTCTCATTGCCATCCACCTTAAACTTTTTTAAATTAGAGAAAAAAAATTGTTGCAACTGAATAATTTATTTATTATGTTACGACAGTCTTATGTCACCGAATATTATATATTTACTATCAATAGATTTGGATGTTCCTTCAAGGAAATAACGTTTTATTTAAAACTATATTTAAAACTGCTTTTAATTGTTTTCCTTGAAGAGATACCGTGGTCAGCTTTTAGGTAAACCTTAGTATTGTTCTTGTATCTTTATTTTGTATTCCATGTGTGATATTTTAGCATTTTCTGCGTAAAGTAAGACGGACAGTGCTCATTATCATTCCTATCCAAGGGTGTAGTTCACACTGTTAATTTTCGTTCTTTTATCTTAAATAACCTTTATCTTTTACTTATAAAACTTTGGCTTATTAATGCCTAGAAACGAAAAACGCAGACAATGTTTTACTCATGATGATATGGCTAAAATGTTAATGTGCATTACTTACTGGAAATATTACTTATTATTACATGAAGACAATATAAACACACGAAAAACTTTATATTCTTCGATTTTTAGTAAACAAAGTTTGAGTATATTTGTGTAGAGCACGTAATGTAAAGTATATTACAACAGTCATGTTAGCATCTGTGTTCAAGATTACGAGAGTTGCCAGGGAGCTGTGCTGTGTTGTGCCTCTACCACCTCAGTACACCTTCCTGCACTGTGTGGGACAGTAAGTTGTTGAGCTTCACAACACCACACAACCTGAGTGTCTTCCTTCACTGTGTGGGACAGTAAGTTGTTGAGCTTCACAACACCACACAACCTGAGTGTCTTCCTTCACTGTGTGGGACAGTAAGTTGTTGAGCTTCACAACACCACACAACCTGAGTGTCTTCCTTCACAGTGTGGGACAGTAAGTTGTTGAGCTTCACAACACCACACAACCTGAGTGTCTTCCTGCACTGTGTGGGACAGTAAGTTGTTGTGCTTCACAACACCACACAACCTGAGTGTCTTCCTGCACTGTGTGGGACAGTAAGTTGTTGAGCTTCACAACACCACACAACCTGAGTGTCTTCCTTCACTGTGTGGGACAGTAAGTTGTTGAGCTTCACAACACCACACAACCTGAGTGTCTTCCTTCACTGTGTGGGACAGTAAGTTGTTGAGCTTCACAACACCACACAACCTGAGTGTCTTCCTTCACTGTGTGGGACAGTAAGTTGTTGAGCTTCACAACACCACACAACCTGAGTGTCTTCCTTCACAGTGTGGGACAGTAAGTTGTTGAGCTTCACAACACCACACAACCTGAGTGTCTTCCTTCACAGTGTGGGACAGTAAGTTGTTGTGCTTCACAACACCACACAACCTGAGTGTCTTCCTTCACAGTGTGGGACAGTAAGTTGTTGTGCTTCACAACACCACACAACCTGAGTGTCTTCCTTCACAGTGTGGGACAGTAAGTTGTTGTGCTTCACAACACCACACAACCTGAGTGTCTTCCTTCACAGTGTGGGACAGTAAGTTGTTGTGCTTCACAACACCACACAACCTGAGTGTCTTCCTTCACTGTGTGGGACAGTAAGTTGTTGAGCTTCACAACACCACACAACCTGAGTGTCTTCCTTCACTGTGTGGGACAGTAAGTTGTTGAGCTTCACAACACCACACAACCTGAGTGTCTTCCTTCACAGTGTGGGACAGTAAGTTGTTGAGCTTCACAACACCACACAACCTGAGTGTCTTCCTTCACAGTGTGGGACAGTAAGTTGTTGTGCTTCACAACACCACACAACCTGAGTGTCTTCCTTCACAGTGTGGGACAGTAAGTTGTTGTGCTTCACAACACCACACAACCTGAGTGTCTTCCTTCACTGTGTGGGATGGTGAGTTGTTAAACATTACTTCACTACACAACTTGAGTAGCATCACTCTGATGCATTATTTAACAAAAAAATATATTAGGATGATAACAGACCAATATCGAAAATGGATGATGAATCAGTATCATCAAAGGATGGTAACAGATTAATTGTGTTTAAGCTCTGTAGGTACATATTTGACGGTTTACTAACGTAGTTAATAAACATTGAATTGCCTCATTCCTTGTGATAAGCGGAGAATGCATCATCTTATCGGCTTCTATCCTTTAGCAATTTTGTTTATCAGTGAATGCACTGCATTATTATTATTATTATTATTATTATTATTATTATTATAATCAAGGGGGAAGCGCTAAACCCGGAGGATTATACAGCGCCTGGTGGGGGGGATGTGGAAGGCATTCAGGCTTAATTCGGGGAACTGGAGCACAGATCCAATTCCCTAAATCAAGAGCCCCTCACCGACATCAAGGAACCTTCCTTGAGGGGAATGCACTGCATTGATTTTGGTTTGTGATAATTTTATTTTGCCAGTTTCATTAGACAAAAATTACCCTTGCAATAATAGGAAAATGGCTCTTTCGATCACCTTCAAATCTTAAATGCTGGCCTGGCCTACCTGTAATTGGCAGTGACTCTGGGCTGAGTATAGGTCATTTTGGCAAAATTTTTAAAATATAAGAGGTAATTAAAGGTGTACTCTCTTGGGGAACCTAAAGAAGTTTGTGAAAGTATTTAAATAGAGGAGTTACAGTACAATAGAGATGACACTTGATCACTGTAATATACTGTTAAATTTAGTCATTAATAAAACTGGTCTCAGGCTAATAGGTTAAAGCCTATACCTGGATTATAATTTAAGATTCTTACACAAGGAATCATTCAAAATTCTACTTAAAAATTTTAACTCAGAAACAACAAGCGTTGCACGAAATACATGTTTTAAAAGTCTGATTTTTAAGGTTACTCTCTTATGTGGGTATAAACAACCATAATGGTGACCATGAAGCAGCTTCTGCATGTAACTATCATGAAAAATAATTCATTATGTGCATCATTGCTTTAATAATACATGATTGTCTACTGATAGTGTCTGATAGAAGAAAAATGAACTGATTTAAACACCAGACTATATTTCAATTAAGAATAATGGTCTTACTAATTTTTGCCTTTAAGAAAAATGGTTGAAATGTAAAATAACATTAAATAAATATCAGCAGAATTTAGTAAAGCAAATTTCATTATTTAGGTGACGTTTCTAAGTTAAGTTTGGCTAAAAGATAACAAATATTTATGACTGAAAAAAAAATATATTTTTCAATCTACAAAATCATTTTTTTGAGAAGTCTAATGTTAATGTAGTTGGACCAGTTCGTCAAGGTCGACATATTAGGCAAGTCAGCACCATTATTCTGAAACAACGTGTTAACTAAACAGCGTGATATTCTAATTACCGAGACTAGATGATGTGTCACAAGATGAGTCAGTTGATCATACGAAAATTTAGTACTTAATATGTACAATCTGTGACAGGCAACAAGGACACATGTACATCACCATTATATTATCAAAAGTTTATCACAAAATTCAACCCATTTATCATGTCACATTAAGAATTTAACAATTACTCATTCTGGAACATGTAGATATCTTCGATGTTTGCTGGAGAGTAAACAAACTTAACGTTATATATGATAAACAAAATTGCAAAAGCTGAATGTTTTTTAAAATTAATTAATTTCTGTCCTTAACTCTGTAATCTCTTATCTTTTTTTTTTTTTTTTTTTTTTTTCTTTTTTTTTTATTCGCCGGTATTCTCCCGGCCCGGGTTTTTTCCAAGTAGTGGTGACCCGGCCTTGGCTCCCTATCTGGGGAGTATCTAGAGACTTAAGTCTCCCATGAGAGGAGGTACAAGTACCCCCTCATGACTTAAGAAATCGTAGTGGCTAACGCGACGGGCTGGAGTTTTGAGACTCTATGACCGCGGGTTCAATCCCGGCCGGGGGTATGTTTGTTTACCCCCTCATCTTTGGGACCAAGTGTCCCCAGGCCTAGCCACAGTCCCCGCCCTCACGGGGCTCGTAGGGAGAAGCTAGGCCTCTGGTCTGCCATCTGCCCCGCCCCAAAGGGGCTCGTGGGGATGGCAGTCTTGTGAGCTGCAGGTGGTAGCAAGCTCAAACCTTCTTTTATTATTATCTTTGTTAATATAACCAAAGAGGGCACATAAACCACTGTGTACCTAAGTTTGAAAAAAACAATCAATATATTAAGTTTTTTTTTCCCAATCTGAACGTAATTTTGTAATATAACCAAATATTTTCATATATGTGATACTTTTTTACTTAAGAATATATAAACTCTCAAAGCTATAGATCTTTTATGATATTTTAGCCTCTCTCTCTCCTCCCAAAAAGGGATCAACTTGCTCATTGTCAAAGAAATAATTATTATTTGATTAAAATTTTGCCTGCTTAGTGATTCTGCATTTAGCACAATGCTTTTATGTACTGCTGATATGTACTACATGTTAGAGGTGTAATTAATGTTGTCTGCAGATGAAGTCAACAACGACGTGTGTACTGGTGGTGATGCTAGTGGGAAGCATCATGGGGAAGTTGTCTCCACCTGAGAGGTCCTATAAGATCCTCATGCTCCTCCCAGTCTCCGCCAGGAGTCACAGGAATGTCTTCAATCCTCTCGCTGAGGCTCTGGCCGACCGTGGACACAAGGTAATGCCAAAATGACTTATGTCTGTATTTCCGAATAAGACTAAATAAATTCATGAGTAATTAAATCGAGAAATAATTCATAAGCTGAGTATAACTGAGAAAATATCTTAACAAATATTACTTGAGTAATAGCAAACAGTAACGTAAATAAAGTGAAAGATTGCTTACAAAACATAAGAAAAATTCTGTTTAATATTCCCAAATGATGAATTTAGTTCAGGTTTTGTTGTGGGTTTCGTCAAGTTTCTACAACATTACCTTGACATACAGTTCAACTTAAATTTCCAGATAGTGATGTTGACCAACCAACCGAAGTCGTCCAAACATCCTAACATTGAAGATATTCCTCACGACCTTCCATACTTCAGGGAGGGAAATATTAACGCTTTCTACAGGAGGAAGAACCACAGTAGACCCATGCAAGCCTTTGAGACTCTTCTGCCAGCTGTTGCTAGGGAGTTGTACAAAGTCCCCGTGGTGAAGGACCTTTATAAAAGAAGGAAGGAGTTTGATGTTATGTTGATTGATGAATTTCTCAACGAGGTAAGTACTCGTGGGTTAATGTTATTTAAAGTCACTGACCATGGCTAGTGTAAAGTTAAAGATTGGTATTTCACGAGTGTGAATATGTGAAAGTTTGATTGAAATGAGCTTCTTAAATGTAGGTGTTAAATTACACGATAGTTATATAAATAAATCCACGGAATAGGTGGTGCTTGATATATATATATATATATATATATATATATATATATATATATATATATATATATATATATATATATATATATATATAATATATATATATATATATATATAAAATATATATATATATATATATATGCAAAACAACCACTCTGAAAGAATAGAGAAATTCCAAGCGCTTTCGTGACTACTCACATTATCAAGGAAATATGAAAGTGAAGCATCCAAGGAAGCTATATAAGGGGTCGGCCAGCACCTCACTATCAGTCACGAAAGCGCTTGGAATTTCTCTATTCTTTCAGAGTGGTTGTTTTGCATATTTTGAAATCACCTGTTTATTGTGATCTTATTGCATATATATATATATACATATGTATATGTCGTGCCGAATAGGCAGAACTTGCGATCTTGGCTTAAATAACAACGTTCATCTTGCCATATAGGACAAGTGAAAATTTGTATATGCAATAATTTCGCCAAAATCATTCTGAACCTAACGAAAAAAATATATTTCACTGTGTTTGTTTAGTATTGAATTATTGTAAACAAAGCTAAAATATATTTAGTTGGTTAGGCTAAAATAAATTGCCCTTGTTATAATAAGGTTAGGTAAGTTTTCTAAGTTCCTTTTGGTGCAAAATTATAAATTTTTACATCAACATTAATGACAAAAATATATCTTTAAACGTATAAGAGAAATTTTTAGTAAGGACTTTATTTTAAATGAGTTCTTGATAATTGACCAGTTTTACATATTCGGCACGACATATATATATATATATATATATATATATATATATATATATATATATATATATATATATATATATATATATATATATATATATATATATATATATATATATATATATATATACATATATATATATATATATATAATATACACATATATATGTATATATATATATATATATATATATATATATATATATATATATATATATATATATATATATATATATATATATATATTTATTTTATTTTATTATCACACGGGCCGATTCCACCAAGGCAGGGTGGCCCGAAAAAGAAAAACTTTCACCATCATTCACTCCATCACTGTCTTGCCAGAAGGGTGCTTTACACTACAGCTTTTAAATTGCAACATTAACACCCCTCCTTCAGAGTGCAAGCACTGTACTTCCCATCTCCAGGACTCAAGTCCGGCCTGCCGGTTTCCCTGAATCCCTTCATAAATGTTACTTTGCTCACACTCCAACAGCACGTCAAGTATTAAAAACCATTTGTTCTCCATTCACTCCTATCAAACACGCTCATGCATGCCTGCTGGAAGTCCAAGCCCC